ACACTTTTTAAAAAAAAAAAACATAACTGGTAGATGCTATTAATTTTTTGATGCACTCAATGCTTTCCAAGAAAAAATACTTTTCTTAAGAAAGACAAAATCTTGTTATGAATTCATATATTTTTTTTTACATTTTTAAGTTTAAAAAAAGTTTTTCTCTTTTTGCTTGAAAATGTAGTGTTTGGATTCTGCTTTTTTTTTATTATATAACATAATGTTTTCAGCTAATGAGTTATTTTTCAGCACAAGAATGGATCCAGGTTAGTTTAAAGGAGCTTCCCTAACCCTCAGGAGCCATTCAAAACCTATTTAATCTTTAACCACCAGAAAAAAAGCAAAAAAACTCTAAAAATCACCTGGTACTACATGGGTAAATTTTCTCACAATACCATGATTTTACATGATGAAGTGAGATTCCTCATTTTGCTCATTTGTATCAGAAAGACAAACAGTAACGTGCCGCCCAAAAAATCTTCAGTTAACCAAAATCAGATTAGTTGTTACGAGTTACAGCATCTTGCACATTATCATATCTCACTGTATTGACTTAACAAACAAGACGTGTTGTGCACTGGCTACACTAGCTTAACAACTGTGCCTTGTACACAAGCATGTACGCTTGGATGTATATGTTGATATTGTACCTACTTATTGCTTCATTTGGCATGTGTTGCAGTCTAACAGAACGCAAACCCATCTATTCATCTTCAAACCCTAATGACAAGTATCTACACGACTGTCAGCTTCTTTCCTGAAGCGAAGGTGGACTCCAGCTAGGAAAGGCGTACATTTCATATAACTAAGTCTGTTCTTATTATAGGCTCATAGAGAACAAGCCAGAACTATACATACTGTATGTGTGCCAACTGGGTGTAACATGGGACACAAAGTAACAAGAGAGATTGATATGAGTTGTACAGACAATCTGTTCAGCAATCTAGTTTGTGTTCACATCAATTGGAACTTTCAACAATCTACTAGAACTAATTAAACACATACTGGAGACTTGAGGAATTTATTTTGCTGATCTAACCAAGAAAGGAAGCAAATATCACAATTAGAAGGAAGTGAAATCAAGAAAGGTCATGTCTTAGTCTTTCCATTAAAACTACAGCAGTAAGAAAAAAGCCTTGTACAGTGATGCAATTCTGAAAAATAGCGCCAAAAGCAAAATGGGAAAAGATATACAGCATAGGTGTGTAAAGTTTGCATTCTCAAAAAATGTTTGATATTTGTGATAATATTGATATTCGCAGCTCACAGATCACATTTTGCCTTTTTGTGCTTAGGAAGCCACAAGAGAAATACGGATTGAGTTTCATTCATTGGTCTATGGTTGCCCATATATCTGGGAGTTTGATTGGGGCTCTCAGTATACATCAACGCTGTATGTTATTTAATATAGTGATCTTATTCCTGAGTGTTATGACAGCAACCAATCACAATTAATCTATTTAGTACTGGTTTGACTTGATCAGAGTCATTCCTGCCTGGCTGCCTTGAGATACTGCACTCAAGAATTACCGTATTTTTCGCTCCATAAGACGCACCTGACCATAAGACGCACCTAGGTTTTAGAGGTGAAAAACAAGAAAAAAAAAATATTCTGAACCAATGGACTGCAGACACAGTACAGGGGATGACCAGAGACTGCGGACACAGTATAGGGAGAGATGACCAGAGACTGCGGACACAGTACAGGAGATGACCAGAGACTGCGGACACAGTACAGGAGATGACCAGAGACTGCGGTCACAGTACAGGAGATGACCAGAGACTGCGGACACAGTGCAGGTGATGACCAGAGACTGCGGACACAGTGCAGGTGCAGACTGCGGACACAGTGACCAGGAGATGACCAGAGACTGCGGACACAGTGCAGGGAATGACCAGAGACTGCGGACACAGTGCAGGGGATGACCAGAGACTGCGGACACAGTGCAGGGGATGACCAGAGACTGCGGACACAGTGCAGGGGATGACCAGAGACTGCGGACACAGTGCAGGAGATGACCAGAGACTGCGGACACAGTGCAGGTGATGACCAGAGACTGCGGACACAGTACAGGAGATGACCAGAGACTGCGGACACAGTGCAGGGAATGACCAGAGACTGCGGACACAGTGCAGGGAATGACCAGAGACTGCGGACACAGTGCAGGGGATGACCTGAGACTGCGGACATAGTGCAGGGGATGACCACAGACTGCGGACACAGTGCAGGGGATGACCAGAGACTGCGGACACGGTACAGGAGATGACCAGAGACTGCGGACACGGTGCAGGAGATGACCAGAGACTGCGGACACAGTGCAGATGACCAGAGACTGCGGACACGGTGCAGGAGATGACCAGAGACTGCGGACACAGTACAGGAGATGACCAGAGACTGCGGACACAGTACAGGAGATGACCAGAGACTGCGGACACAGTGCAGAAGATGACCAGAGACTGCGGACACAGTGCAGGAGATGACCAGAGACTGCGGACACAGTGCAGGAGATGACCAGAGACTGCGGACACAGTGCAGGGGATGACCAGAGACTGCGGACACAGTGCAGGGGATGACCAGAGACTGCGGACACAGTGCAGGGGATGACCAGAGACTGCGGACACAGTGCAGGGGATGACCAGAGACTGCGGACACAGTACAGGAGATGACCAGAGACTGCGGACAGTGCAGGGGATGACCAGAGACTGCGGACAGTGCAGGGAATGACCAGAGACTGCGGACAATGCAGGGAATGACCAGAGACTGAAGACAGTGAAGGGAATGACCAGAGACTGCTGACCTTTGGGGAGGGAGGGGGGGGAGCGGGTACCTGAATTTGACAGGTACCCGCTCCCACTTCCGCGGAGTTGTCCTTCTCTCTTCTTCCCGGGCCGGCTTCTGTGACAGCCGGGTGCCCACTGCGCATGTGTGAGAAGCGCTGCGCTTTGTGAATGGCCCGGCGCCTTCTGGGACCTTTCATGTGTCCCAGAAGACACCGGATCATTCACAAAGCGCAGCACATGCGCAGTGGGCACCCGGCTGTCACAGAAGCCAGCGCGGGAAGACTGTGCAGCGCTGGAGCGAGGGACAGGTAAGGCCCTGCAGGAGAGAACAGCTGAGCGGCCGGCCCGGTATTCTGACATGGTGGCCGCAAAAATACCGGACCGGCCGCTTTATATTCGCTCCATAAGACGCACTGAAATTTTCCCCCCTTTTTGGGGGGGAAAAAAGTGCGTCTTATGGAGCGAAAAATACGGTACTGTTTATGACCTCTAATATACTGTCTTACTTTTTTGGTTAGTAAATATATATCTCAGAGCTGGACAATTTCAGAAAAAATTCAGTTGTGCTCAAAAATTTGCACACCCTAGTAGAAATCATGACATTTTGTCATTGATATTGAAAATACAACTGATCATGCCAAAAACGGTCTTTTATTTAAGGGCATTGATCATATGAAGCCATTTATTATCACATAGTTGTTTTGACTCCTTTTTAAGTCATAATGGTAACAAAAATCACCCAAATGACCCTGAGTTTACATACCCTGGAATGTTTGGCCTTGGTACAGACAGGTAAGGTAAAACACACGTGTTAAAATGGCAATTAAATGTTAATTTCCCACATCTGTGGCTTTTAAATTGCAATTAATGTTGGTGTATACATAGTCAATGTGTTTGCTAGCTCTTATGTGCATGCACTAAGCAGGCTAGATAATGAACCATGGTGATCAGAAAAGTGTCAAAAGACCTGCATAACAAGGCAAAATAACTTTATAATGATAGAAAAGTATATAAAAAGATGTCCAAAGCCTTGAATATGCCAGTCAGTACTGTTCAATCACTTATCAAGAAGTGAAAAATTCTGGGATCTCTTGATACCAAGCCAAGGTCAGGCAGACCAAGAAATATTGCAGCCACAACTGCCAGAAGAATTGTTTGGGATACAAAGAAAACCCCACAAGTAACCTCAGGGGCAATGCAGTCTGCTCTGGAAAAAGACAGTGTGGTTGTTTTTAAAGTGGAGTTCCACTCAAAAGCAGAATCTCCACTTATTTGCCTCCCCCCCCCTCCCATTGTCATATTTGGCACCTTGGGGGGGAGCGGATACCTGTTTTGAAACATGTTATCTGCACATCAACAACCACAATTGTTTTCTATGTGCCATGTTCAATCCACAACACAGCAGTGATGTGCAGCGTGATGTTGAAAAATACAGACATGAGCATTTTTCTGCAGCGGAACTCACTGTGTTGCAGCTCAGCTGTGGTGCAGAAACCTTAATGAAGTGTCATTTAGTAAAGTAAACAGCCTGGTGTGTTGAAACAAATCATCATACTGGCCTCTCACCTTTGGTACACAACGGACACCAGCCGCAACTTAAACTTTGCACAATTTTTGCTTTGATGCATCATAGAAAGTAGTTCATCAAGCCAATTTAAACTGAACATTCAGTCATGCTATAAAACACAAAGCTATCAAAGCCTTTGCCTTTAAAATATCAACTTAAAGCGGAGCTCCAGTCCCCCTAAAAAAAATTTTTGTTAAAAGCAGATCCACGATGACCTTACAAATAGCATTAACAATTGGAATAATTCAATATTAAAAGCATTGTAATTACTTAGAAAATCGTAACCATTTACCAGGATCTTGGAAGCAGGCAGGTGCCATGATGGCTGTGGGCATCTGAAGCCTGCAGGTTTTATTTCCTGGAATCATGTTGCTGGCTATCCCAGCATGCACCACTCGTTCTCACGAATGCACAGTACAGACACTGCTCAGCACGATGTGTGCAGTACAGGTTGCCATAACAATGGTTGGGATTGATCAAGTTCCCACCCCCTGCCCCCCATCAGGCAACCTGTACAGCACTGTACTGCTAGGAAGGAAATATATCATGCATTTCGGTAAAATGGCGTGAAACACCTCCCATTCGCATAATTTCTGGTTTCCAAGTCCCACAATTACAGGAAACCAAAGGACTCCTGGGATACAGGAAACGACATCCCAGGAGACCTTGCAAATCACCTTACCACGTCATCGCCTAGGCAGTCGGGACCAGAAATGCAGGCTTGCAGTGGATTAAAAGGTATGTATAAAAATAAATATATATATATATATACAGGGGCGTACTGACAACTCATGGGGCCCCCGTGTCCTTGCCCAAACTCAAAAAAGCCTATGAAAAAGGTACCAGGGGCATCTCATGGGGCCCCCTACTGACCCCGGGCCCTCGGGCAGTGCCCAAGTTTCCAAATGGTCAGTCCACCCCTGTATATATCCAACTTGTGCTTTATTTCACAGTGACTACATAATAAGGTAAAGTATTAAAAATGGGTGGAACTCCGCTTTAAGGTGGGCTGACCCTTTAATGATTCCATAGTCACACTACTGTACAAGAAAACATGTTATATAGACAGCACCAAAATGTTCTCTTAGATATTGAAACTCTTGACTCCCTTGTAATTTGGTATTATGCCTAGGACAAATTATATATTACAATGTTCATGTGAAATTAGATTGGCCTACTTGCATATTCCATCAAACAAAAAACAATTAAATCTAGCTATACAAACCAAAAATCCTCTTTTAATTCCCTTTTTGAAAAACTTGATCACGTAAATGGAAAGAAGCTGCAGAAGATGCCAAATGTATCTTTCTTCTAAAGGTGTGGGATAAAATGTGTGATGCATCCTGAAGCCGGGCATTAGTCAGTAAGACCAAGCTTAGTTAAAGCATTGCAAAAAATGGATTACACAGTACATTACAATTCTGCATTATTATTGAATGTTTGTAGCTACTGATTTCTAAACAATTCCATCAAATAAAACAGTGGCAAATGATTAATAATCTCCATCCAAGGTCTAGGATTTTATGATGTGAAGATCAGTGGCTCTGGCTTTTAGTAAAAGCTTGTAAAATATCAGAAATGCTGCCAGATGATTCAACACTGAGGATCAGACATTATATGGAACATTAACATAAATATAAGCCAAAACAGAAGCTTTTGCCTCTAAACATTGAGCCTTTCAAAAGACATTAATGGAACTGAAGAAATGTATATGTGAGTGTATATGTTTGAGTGCATGCTTCTTACCTTCACATTCTTACAACTTTTAATAGGCTGACCTGTTAGGCCTCCTGCACACTGCTACTCCTAAACTGATAGATGTGGGATTTGGTTTTTTTTACCTAGGCCCATGAACGCACCTCAATAAAATCCTATATGTCCATGCACACATATGTTTTTAGAGGAGCTTAGGAACAGCAGAGTTTAGAGGTATTCAAAGTTCCTTCTCCCGAATGCAGAAGAATTGCATTCAGGAGAGAAGCATTGGGAATAAAAAACAATAAACTAGTCTAAACGGCACTAAAAGTGCTAGGTATGTTTAGAGTTTGAGTGTTTTTTCATTTCAATGGCCAGAATAAATACAAATTCTGGCCAATTAAATAAATGTTCAAACCCAAACGTCTAAATGTACCTAAACATATCTAAAAAAAACATGGCTTAGGTGTGTTTAAAACAGCGTTTACAATAAACCAGTGTGCATGAGGCCCTAGAGGCAAGGCCTAGAGATGGACATATTGCAGTATTTGGGAGCCTACAAGTGCAATCTAGGAGCAAAAAGTCATTTTTTAGTTTCCACACCCACAAAAAAAATGGAGCACAGAAAGTTAACGTATATGCTTTGTGGCTAATAAAGTGTTAGTTTTTTTTATACTTTTACATATACTTAAGCTTGTAATAAAGCTTACCCGTAGGTAAATTGAATATCTCCTAAATGTGCACCGTTTAGGAGATATTCGCTCTTTTGAGATCCGGCACATGCACTCTGAAGGAACGGCATACCCGTGCCGCTTCTTCAGAGCACTGTGCTGAGGCCTGGAACTCCCGTGTCCATGCACAGGAGTGACGTCGTCACGGCTAGGCCATGAACCTGGAAGTAAGACCGAGTGAAAATGGAAGCCTCTGCAGTGGTGAGAGTGCACCGCTGGAGGGCTTCATTTTAAGGTAAGTCTTTCATAATGTGCTAGTATGTGATGCATACTAGCACATTATGACATTACCTTGCAAGGGATTTTTTTTGTAAAGCTGTGGTTTATTACCACTTTAAGGAATTCATTCAAATGAAAGTTTTTGTACCTGGAGTTCTGCTTTAATATATCTTCCCTCCCACCTGGGCTGTAGCAGAGATTGCAGAAGCACCATTCCAGCCTGGAGACACTTGCCGCTGAACCGGATGCATGTGTGAGATGAAGGGAGGAGCTGAGAGAGACCAGTACCCACTGTACCCATATGACATTTGTATAATTTTCTTCACACAAATTTTGGTGGTATTTAATCACTGGGTGTTTTATTTTTTGCACTATAAACCAAAAAAAAAATGATATAAATGAAAAAAAAAATTTTTCTTTGTTTCTATTATAAAATTTTGGAAACAGGTAATTTTTCTACTTCACTGATGTGTGTTGATGAGGTTGCACTGATAGGCAGCACTGATGGGCACT